TCTTTTATATTTGTACTCGCATTTTATGGATAGTAAGTAGAGTTGTCAAAATAGACTAGCCCATATGAACTGGTCCGTCCGACCTAAAAAATCATAGGACTTGGGCCTTCAAATTAGAGTCCATATTTTTAAGGATTTTTTTAGCCCAGTCCTAAAAAGCTCATTACCCATTAGGAGCATGGACCGTGGGTAGCCCATTAGACCCGCATAGCTATAAATTTTTTAAAAAAATTATATTAATTTTTGTATTGAGTTACTCTAAAATAATACATTGATTTTTCTCACTTCACTAAATTGTGTCTCTATTTTATTCAATCTTTATGTTTTAAATATTATACATTAATATAATCAACACTATTTCTTCGTGTTCTATTACTTTCTCTTATGTTAAATATTTGAATATTATTTTTTACAATTTAGACATGTATTGCATTTAAAAACACATTATAGTACTTATAAAAGATAATATAGTAATTAAAATATATTATATTTAAAATAATATAATTTTTATTTTATTTATAATAAATATTATAAAAAAATTATTTATTATTTATTTAAAAAAAACCATTTAAGATCAGATAGTCCGAAGCCCATCTAAAGTCAGATTCGAATAGTAATTTTGAGGCTCAAATTACAATAAGACTTTTAGGTTTAGCCTTAAAAAGTCTAGGACTGTCGGGTCCAGTCCATTTAAGACCGAATAGTCCATTTTGACAGCTCTAGTAATAATTTAAAAATATCATATTATTTTAAATTTTTAAGAAAATTAACAAAAGAAAAATTCAAATATAAATAAATGCAAGTACAAAAGCATAGTTTCATACTAAACCCCTTCTATTTTTTTAAATAAACATGCCTCACCAGATCTCAGAAGATCTATTTAAATAACACACCTCTTCTAAGTTCTAACATATGAGCAAGTGACACATATTATCTAATCTATTTGGCAGTTTTTTTCTTCTTTTTTATTACATGAATTGTAAGGTATTTTTGGTTGGCTACATACATACATACATGATTTTCGCATGTTTGAATGAGGACGTGATCTGGTGAGTGGTGGTGGACATGCGACAGACATAATGGTATTGGCATGAGCATGACATTGCCACTGTATGTACGTACGTACTAGTCTATGAAAAAGTTAAGTAAACTACAAATAAATAAAGCCAATTAAAAAAAAAAGCAAAAGATGAAACTATATAAGATTTTATTGGCCAGAATTACAGGAACAAAGTCATTCCAAAATCCAAATTAAAACTGTTTATTTCTTTATTCTTTTCCCTTTTAACATCCATTCTTATGGTAACAAAGTTAATATTCAAACAGAATTCTGATTAACATTTGTAATTGCTTATATTACTATGTTTTGTGGGCCTAAGAAAGAGGTCCCTGATTGGTAGAAAACATGTTTGGAGTAGAAATGAAAAAGCAGAAAAAAAGTGGTTAAAGTGGTCACTGAACTTGGGGCGGGTATCTCTTTTGAAAACATAACATAGCATGGCATAAAAAAAACAGTAACAAACCCACGTTCCTATTTAACAACCAAACCGGTTTTGTCTCTTTCTTATCTTAAAATTCACAAACCTTAACCAAGACAAGAATTCCAACATAAAAATAGAAACCAAACAATGAAGTGGGGTGGAAGAAAAGCTTCTTCAGCTGCTGCTTCTTCTTCTTCTAAGCCTTCCTTTATCTCTCATGTATCTCCTTTTACGTGGCTGTCAAAGTTCAAGCAGATGAAAATCAACTCAGACTCAGAGACGAAACCTGAGAAGCCGAAGCAGAACGCAGCGTCTGATAATAGTTCATCACAATTTCCTCATGGGAATAGAGGCAGGTTTTATCGAGGTGGTGACGGTGATGATGATGCTTTCTGGAGATTGTCATTTGGTGAAGAGGTTACTGATGAACAAAAGAAGAAAAGTAAAGATATTATGAAGCCGATCGTGTATAATTCGGAGGCTAAAAGAAATGGAAGAAGAAGAAGAAGAGAAGATAAAGATTTGATGAATGAAACAAAGAGTGCAAAGGAACTCGAATACTTAAAGAAGAGATATGAGAGAAAAGCACAGAAAGTTATACAAGATCAGCTCTTGAAATTACAGAACACAGAAGAGGAAGAACAATTTGCATCAAGTAAGTGTAAATCCTTAGAAAAGGACGAGCTTCAATTCGAATCACCAAGAACCCGTTTATTTTCCCCTTATGTAGATGCAGAAAGTTCTAACCTTGGCCTCGGAAGTATCAGAGAAAACGGCATGAAACAATGTGATGAGTTTAAAGTAAAGGGTAACAAAAAAAGGGAATCGGTTCATGTGAGCAGAGAGCTTCATAGGAGGAAACCAAAGCAGAGCTCCAAGGTAAGAGTGCATTCTCCAAAGATGGCTACAAAAGTCGAAATCTGCAAAATAAAAGCAATAGAAGATAAAAAGAAAGCAAAACTAAAGATGAAGAAACAAGAGGAAATTGTGGAGGAAACAGAAAAAGGTTTAGATAGCTTTGCTGTGGTGAAGCGTTCTTTGGATCCACAACAAGATTTTAGAGATTCAATGATTGAAATGATCAAAGAGAAACAGATAAGTGAGCCAGAAGAAATGGAAGAGTTATTAGCATGTTATTTAAGTTTGAATTCAAATGAATATCATGATTTAATCATCAAAGTGTTTAGGCAAGTATGGTTATATATGAGCCAATCTAGTTTGTGTACTAAATCAGACAAGCAATGTTGTTACTATGATTAACAAATAACAACATTTTGTTAGAATTGTAAATGGTTAATCATGTTCTAGTTATTATAATCTCTTTGTTTCAATTCAATTTCACTATTCTCATCATAGACAAGTTTTTTGTGCATGCAAATCTGTACAGTACTACCAAGTTGTTTGCACTCAACTCATGGATGCTAAAGTTAAGAACTTAGGATGCTGGTAGTAGTAGGATTTTAGCAATATCTTTATTCTTACGCAAAAAGGCTAAAGTAGTAGTGAGAACCAGAAGTGAAAGCTATAAAGCGTCCAAAAGTAGAATACATGAATAGTTTGAAAAAACATCAAAATCACTGTGAACCAGAAGCTACTACATATTTTAGCTTCTATGAATTACAGTGAAAAGGCTCTAAGTTCACAGTGCCAATTGTTCACCACTTGTTGGGCATATCACAATCATCTTGGATAAGGTTGCCTTGCCCATACCATTTCTGATCCTCAAAATCTTTAAAAAAATTATGAACAATCTGCAATTAATAAACACTATGTATTACAATTGCTGGGCAAATTGTCCACTACTCAACCAAACACATGCTAAGAAATTGTTGTTGGGCAAATCACAATCATCTTGGATAAGGTTGCCCATACCACTTAGAAAATAAATGATGAACAGTCTGCAATTAATAAACATACTATGTATGGCTAATGACATAATCTACAATATGGGGAAAATAGTAGAGTTAAGAGTACTCTAATAAATATGATAAAACTAAATTTAGAACTTTTATCCTCTTCCTTGCAGATGCCAGACTCTTCACCTCATTAGGCTGTGTTTGTTTACAAGTATAAATTATAAAAGTCAAGTTTTTGTTGAAAAGTATTTTTAACATGTTTGAATACACTCATGTAGAAACACTTTTGTTTGTTGAAAAATTGCATTAAAAGACACAAATACTTATTATCAAATAAATATATTTGTGTAGAAGCACTAGTTTCTCAATACAGCCAAGTCATAGCATATTTTGGTGGCTTTAGAAAACCAATAAAAGCAAAAGGTGAGACTCAAAGTTGAGAAGAAGACTATAAAAAGGTCTAGTAAGCCTTGAATCTGTAAAAGAGTAAAAAAAAGAGTTGAATTTCAACCCAACCACACTTGTTTCCAAGAAGATTGGGAAATATAAAGAATCATTAATCTAATGTAAAATAAAACATATCACAATCATGCATTTTCTTGATTTACAGCAATGGCTGGTGATCATCTCACAGTTGCAGGCAATCCAAGTTTAAACCTTCTATTTAACCGTAACGGCGTGCAGAAGTGAATTCATTGATGAGCAAATAAGTGAAAAAGGCATCCAGAATAGAGGTTTAAGAGGAATGAATAAAAAATCCCTATTATGATCACAGCATTCCATTACTAACTAAGAGCTGGAATATTATGCAGAAACTCACAAAATATCATAACTGTTTACGACGGGCCACTAGTTTTCCTTAACTCATTATAATTTCCTGCAGAAGCATTGAACTGCCGATTACAACACAAGAAATGAATAACGATTTAAAGAAGTTTTGATAGCATGAAGGCAACAAAGTCGACTGTGATCCAAACCCTTACAGCCAATATTTAGTAATTAATGCTATATCTACATACAAAGCAATTGAAAAATTACAACCCAGATTTCGAAGTTATAAAAGAAATAAGCATACTTAAATAATCCCTTAAGCAAATGAAATGACAGAAATTAAGAGAAGAAAGAAAACAAATCAAGTTCAGTAGGTTTGTTACCTGGATGACTGTGTCAATGGGATCAGAAGTTCCAATAGTTTAATCAAAGTACAAATCGAAGCACACAACAGGAAGAAAAAAGATTCAATTACAACCCATCAGAGATTTCAAAATTAATACAAACAACACAAAAGCTAAATTATTTGAGTGATTGCAGCTCAGACGGTCAAAAGGATATAATTTTACAGCAGTTCAGCTACTTACGCCAGATTTTCAAAACAATGTGAATTTCCCTAATTGTTCACTGGTTCGTGAAGTGCAGTTTGGAATGGTTCACAGTTCAATTCGATTTTCAGTAAATTTTGAACAGCCTTAGCCACATAGTATGGTTTTCACATAATAGCATTTAAAGATAAAAAAAGGGTTTTCATGAATAGCATTTAAAGATAAAAAGAGAGGCATAATCATCTAAAATGTGGAATATCTATTTATTGCAGAGAAAAGCAATGCATGCCAAAATTTATTACAAGTAATTGTGGGCTATCACAACCAGAAGAAATAATCAATAGCTACTGAATTTTCTCTACTTGACCAACATTCCCCGTCTGTTCCGGAAGAGTATTTGCTCTCCCCATATTCCACCAAAATCTTCCGTGACCACTAGGTTTTCCTTCATTTTTTCTGCTATTATTATCTTTTCTTTCTGATTGTACTTCCTGTGCTTCTGCCGCACCAGGATCCTCTGTCAAGAACTGTTCCCAAAATACATCATTGACCCCAGTTGCGGCAGCGGTGATTCCGACTGGCTGTTCTTTTAATGCAACAGTCTCGGGAGGAGGAGCAGCTGGTTCGGAGTTCATGTCAATTTCAGGTGACTTTGTTCGAATTTCAGCTTCTAGTTGCTGACAAGATATACACAAACTATCAGCACAACTTGTAGGTTCATCTAAATCAATGTCTGAGTGAGAGTGAACAAAGTTGTCACCGATTTCGTTTGCAACAGTTTCCCAAAATGCCGCGGATGACTCAAGTTGATCCAATCTCTCTGAGTTTGATGTCAAAAGAGTGTTACTCTCTGCAATTTCTCTGGGCAAAGCTACCGAAGTTTCCATACCATCTTCCTCCATACTAGCTTCATTATCAACACGGCCACTTCTCGCCGGCAACCTTCGTTTTCTATCCATTGTTTCTGTCAGTGGCAAGAGATTTACAGCAACCGCAGGTTTCTGCAGTACTTGAGAAACAGAAGACAACATCTTTTGCTGCTTTTGTTCTAACTTTTCCAACCGATCTTTTGAGCAATGCATTTGGATCTCATATGTTTGCCACTCATGTTGGTATCTATTTATCTCCATTATGAGCTGTTCTCTATCGTGTTTCAGTTTCTCTATTTCATCGTTCAAACTCTGCCTTTCAGACTCTGATAAAGGAGCTTGTGCTTGAAGATTATGCAGAGAATGGCTATGAACCGGCTTCCGTCTATGGATATTCTTCATAAGATGCGGCTGCCCCTTAACAAAATCATCATTAGCAAACTCCCATTGTTCTGGATCAACTTTCCTAAATCCCTGCACACACATATACTATGAATCAGTCCAAGCAACCAAAACGCATAACGAAGAAATAAACACAACAAGAGTTCACATCAACATTACAACAACACCAACAACAAGAATTCACATCGACAATTACTTACATATGTATTCAGCTGCCTGATAAAACTGGAGAAGTTATTATGCTTAAAGAATCTCGGGAGCAAAACCCTAGCAAACTCCGGGTGATTCCACACAACAAAACTTTTGTTATTCATACTCCAAGAAACAATAGGATCCGAGGAAGGATCATCCACCATCTCATAAGTCTTTGCCAGAAAAGGAGGTAAACTCGAACTTCCCTGTGCTTCATCCATCACTCAAAACCCCAATTCCCAGCTCAGAAATCTCACCTCCCAAACCAAAATTCAAAACCCAAAACCTAATAAATTACCAATCTTTCAAAACAAAAATCAAACCCCAAATCACCTTCTATATTCTAGAACAACCCACAAACTAAAAAAAAAAAAACCTAACTTTCTAATCCCTAATCGTACGACAAAAAAAAACAAAACCCTAATACCCAATAATTACAAAAAAACCGCACCCTAATCACAAATCAGAAGAATACTCCACAACCCTTTAATCAAACTATAATCCATAAAAATCATCAAGATCACAAAGTATATAGGTAAAAAAAAGTTCATTTTCCTTCAAAACTCCCCAAAAAAAACCTCAACTTTCGTAAATTTCACTTTCCAAACAACCTAACGTATCACTTTTCTTTCCGCAAGTGGATAAACTTGGACGTAAAGCAACAATAATTGAGAAATTACATGTGAAAAACACGAAGAAAACAAAAAAAAAACGGTCCAAACGTTGTTGGATCTTTGCACAAGAAAGGTAAAAGAGGGTAAAAGTTGCAAAGAGAAGAAAATTGTTGTTTGCAGTTTAAGGGTTTTGGGAATCGAATTATTGGGTTCTTGTTGAAACGCGTAGATGAAGTTTCTACACAAAGTTTTGTTTTCTGCGTAACATTTTTCGTGAGCGCGAGGTCAACGTAAACGTAGCGTTGATTTTTCGCAAAAACTATAACATTAAAATAGAGTTTAATTTTGTTTTTTCTTTAATCGTGATCAATTGTATGTTTTTTCCTTGACAGAATTTTTTAATTAATAAACCGTTAATTTAGTAAATTGAATATCAATATTTCGTTAATTTAGTCATGAAATATTAAAAACAATTGGTTAATCACCACTGATATAGTCTTTGTTCGTAAATCAGTTATGTATCATTGAACCGTTATCGTTTTTACTAAATTCAATGTTAATTATCATTAAACTAATTAATGGTCGGTATTAAAATCAATCTTTCATACTTATCATAATTAAATATATTGAATAAATGAGCTTTTTACTAAAAAAATATTTTTTATAAAATTTACGGTTGAAATATGATATCTTGACACTAAAAATAACATTACATTATATATACTGTTAACAAATACGTGAACATTATTTTATATTATTTTAACTTTTTAATATATATATTTTTTAAATTATTTAGTTAATGAAATATTAAAATTTGATTTATACAGTTTAAAATTTGATTATTTAATATAAAAATTTATATATATATATATATATATATATATATATATATATATATATATATATATATATATATATTGAAATTCTGGCTGCAGATATTCAATGTCACGTTTAATGTTATGACATCGTATCTGACTTTCTATAAGACAGTAAATACAAAAACAGTAAAGAACACAGTCAATTGTTTACCCAGTTCAGTGTGCAACAACACCTACTCTGGGGGCTACCAAGCCAGGGAGGAAATCCACTATAAGAGATGTTAATTCAGGAATAAACCAACCAGTTTATCTCCTTCACTTAAGACCTATCCAATGCAATTTCAATCTAAGTACAACTTAAACCTGAGTTCCTACTCACTCCCCCTCAATCAAAGCAGTGATACATAAAACAATTTGACTAATGAATTGATGAAGACACTCTTCAAAAACATATACTTGATTAAGCTTCACAGCTTTTTAATCAAGCAACACAACCACTCTTGCTTCACAGCTTTGAGTGATACACACACCTAACTTGACTCTGCTTCACAGCTTTAGTCAAGAAACATTCAAACACTCTTGCTTCAAAGCTTTGAGTGCTACACAACCCTTATAATTAAAAACCTATTCCAAGTCACTTATCACAATGATAATTGCTTGAAGTACAATAATTAAACCTATACAGTTTACAAATGATCTTCTGATCAAAAAAGGGATTCCTTGCAAAACAGCAGCTCTGTTGAATATATAGCAGCTGCATCTTCAGTTAGGGTTTCCACAAAAAGCTAGGGTTAATTCCATTTGACCTTAAGACTAGGTCACAGGACTTTATCAACCAGGTTAGGGTTGAGCTAGGTTAACCCAAAGAAAACGCAGGATTCTGTTCTGGAAAGACTGAGTCATTTTCCTGAAAAAACTCAGAATTAACCAAACTGCAAACCTGTTAGTTCAGAACAGGATGTCTTAACATCTGTTATGACATCTGAAAAACCTGTCTACTGATTTAGGAAAATGTGATCGTTTTGCAAAATGCTCAGATACACACTTATAAACATCAGTACCTGAATGACAATATTTTTCTGCAAAGGTACCTAATGAATCAGTACAAACTAAACTAGAATGTTATGACATCAGTCATGACATTCACACATACACTTGGGTTTTACCAAAAATGCAAGCCAATAACTAAACAACTACAAACTCTCCCTTTGGCAGATTTTTGGCTAAAGACCCTAAGTAATCAGAGATAGATAGCAGCAGAAGGAAATGACTGCAGAAAAATAGAATTTCTAATTAAGCAAGTACCAAAATATTCTCCCCCTCTTTAGCCACAAATGGGCCAAAGATACATGTTCATAGAAATTATACAGTTATCCAGAAAAAAGTAATAAGAGCAGCAGCAGAAAAAAAACTGAACACACTTCCAAACTCCACCAGGTACCAGCACCAACTCCACCAAACAGCAACTCCACCAACCATTAAGCACTGTCATCAGACTCAGAGGATTCAGGCTTCTTCCTTTTCTTGTTAGCAATGTCAGCATTCTTCTCTTTGTCTGATGTCTCAACATCCTTAGAGACATCTGGATTTGTTTCAACATTTGAACTTTCTTGATTCAAAGGAACAGAAATGCCAGGAACTGAGTGGTTCTCGTTCAGAATTCTTGAAACAATTTTAGCTATTGCTTGACTAACATAGGCTGACCCTTCCCTATTTGCAATTTCAGGGGGAACTGAAGAAGAAGGATGAGATGGATTACCAGAGGCAGAAGCTTGGGACTTTCCTGCATGTCTTGTTCTCAACTCTTTGACCTTGGTGGGGTTAGTTCCCACTTTTCTACGAGAAGAGATCTCCAGGACTTCAGAGTCCAGACAAGAAGAGATTGTCCTAGAATCTTGATCAGAGGAAGAGGTTGAAATAGTCGTATTGGATGATGATGGTGTTTGAGACATTTTGACAGTCTTAGAGGACCAACAGCAACTGAAGAGAAAATTCTGATTGAGAGACTGGGTTTTGATGAGGAGACGAGAGGGGAAGGAAGAAAAGGAGTGTCTATTCAACTTCTTAAAAGAATTGAAGGAAATGGGAAAATATAATTTTAACCCAATCAGAACAAGCATAACTCCTTTAATCCTTGTTTTAAGCAAAATTAATTGCTACAATTCCTCATGTTGGCAAATACCCAACTTACCCCTCAAGTTTTCAAATTGATTTGCATCAAGAGCCTTGGTAAAAATGTCATCCAGATGTAGCTCAGTGGCAACATGTTCCAATTTGATTGTCTTCTCTTCTACAAGGTCTCTCATAAAGTGATGTCGTATGTCAATATGTTTGGTCCTACTATGCTGAATGGGATTCTTGGAAATGTTGATTGTACTCAGATTGTCACAGTACAATGTCATAACATCTTGTGTGACATTATACTCAGTAAGCATCTGTTTCATCCAGATCATTTGAGAGCAGCTACTACCAGCTGCAATGTATTCAGCTTCAGCAGTAGAAAGAGACACACAATTCTGTTTCTTGCTGAACCAGGAAACCGGATTATTTCACAAGAAGAAACATCCTCCCGAGGTGCTTTTTCTATCATCAGCACTACCAGCCCAATCAGCATCACAGTAGCCAGTCAGAGCTGGTTCACAGCCATGAGAATACATCAACCCATAGTTGTAAGTTCCACTCACATACTTCAAAATTCTCTTCACTTGATTGATATGACTGACTTTGGGATCAGCTTGGTATCTTGCACAAACTCCAACTGCAAAGGCAATATCAGGTCTGCTGGCAGTTAAGTACAACAAGCTTCCTATCATGCTTCTGTACAGACTTTGATCCACCTTAACCCCACTTGAATCTTTGGAAAGCTTTAGATGAGTAGGAGCAGGAGTCCTTTTGTGACTTGCATTCTCCATACCAAACTTCTTTACAATGTTCTTAGCATACTTGCTTTGAGATAAGAAGATTGAGTCCTCCATCTGTGAGACTTGCAGACCAAGAAAATAAGTTAGTTCTCCCATGAGACTCATTTCGAATTCAGCCTGCATCTGGTCAGCAAAGTGTTTAACCATATGTTCTGACATTCCTCCAAACACTATGTCATCAACATATATTTGGGCAACCATCAACTTCCCTCCTTCAGTTTTGACAAAGAGAGTTTTGTCCGAGCCTCCTTTTCTGTAGCCTTTGTCTGAGAGAAACTTTGTTAACCTGTCATACCATGCTCTAGGAGCTTGTTTCAGGCCATATAGAGCTTTTCTCAATTTGTAGACATGATCAGGGTGGGTTGGATCCACAAAGCCTTTAGGTTGTTCCACATAAGCTTCCTCATTTAAGTACCCATTTAGAAAGGCACTTTTCACATCCATCTGAAATAACTTGAACTTCAGAAGACAAGCAATTGACAATAGGAGTCTGATTGATTCCAGTCTGGCTACAGGAGCAAAGGTTTCATCAAAATCAACCCCTTCAACCTGGGTGTATCCTTGAGCGACAAGTCTTGCCTTATTTCTGGTGACAACTCCTTCAGCATCTGACTTGTTCTTGAAAATCCATTTTGTCCCAATGATGTTAGTTCCTTCAGGTCTAGGAACCAGTTCCCAAACTTCATGTTGCTTGAATTGGTTCAGTTCATCTTGCATTGCACCAATCCAGTATTCATCAGTTAAAGCTTCCTTGACATTTCTTGGTTCCATTTTGGACACAAAACAATAGTTTGAGATGATTTCTCTAGATCTTGTAATGACTCCACTGTTGAGATCTCCTATGATGAGCTCTTTTGGATGATCCTTC